GAGACAAGCTGGGTCCAGCAGGAGCCAGGTGCCAGAGGGACACACTTTGCTTTGTCACAGGGCTGCAGGGACATGGACTGCAGAAATTCAGGCCAAGCAACAGCCTCCAGAGCTCACAGCCATGAAAGAGCCCTCAAGGAGAGAGTCTGCCCTGGTCCCCAGGGAGGGACAGCCCAGCGGTGGCAGCCTCCTCCCCTTCCTAGGGAGAGTGACAGCCACCAGGGTCCCCAGCACCACTCAAGAGGCAGACAGGAAAGGGAAGGACACCCCAAATCTCACAGCTGTGAGTCCCCCAACCCAGCCAGGGCCACCTCACCCTGCCTCCCATTCAGGGCACTGAGAACTCAAGGTCACCTCACCCCCAGCCACATACCTGGAGGTGACAGTGCTGGATGACACTGCCAGCTGCCAGCCTCACAGCTCCTTCCAGCAGGCAGTTGGTGACCGAAGAGCCGTCCTCCAGGAGACAGGGTTGCTGCCGGGAGCACAGAGGTGTGTGTGACCGGGGTCTGGCCACACAGCCCAGAGCAACACCCGAAAACGAGCGAGGCTGGGACGGAAGGACGTACGTCCACGTGGGAATGGGCGGTTCTGCAGAAGCAGAGGTGGCTGGCAGAGCTGGGTAGCAGCGTCAGGCTGCGGATGTGCTCGCTCGCAGAGGCACTCAGGTAGTCGTAGGACGCATTGGGGATGCAGGCTGTGGGGGAGCAGGAGAGCTGTCAGCACACCGATGGCAAACGTGGGTGTGCCTGACACCAGCACGAGCCAAGGGCAGCCAGGCTGGGCATCCCCAGGTGAAGGGATGGGGAGAGAAGACCTGGGGACCTGCAGTTCTGGGGAGAAACAGCCAGGTACCCGGCCCTGAGCACCCCATGCAGGGTAAGGGGGCTCAGGGATGGGTCATGTCGCGTGCACCCACCGCAGCACCACTCACCCATGCTAAGAGGGAAAGCGTGGAGAGCTGCCCACAGCACGGAGCGGGCGTTCCTCACGCTGCTGTCACCACCACCCTTCACAAAATCCTCCTCTGTCACCCCCCCTGCCATGCACAGCACAATGTCGAAGAAGAGGGAGAGCTGAGGAGAGAAGGGACCTGTTGGGTGCAGCCACCCTGACCCCCCCACCCTGCTGCTGGGTGCTTCCCTCCCACCATCTCTCTTACCCAAATCAGGGCCTAGAGATGCCCAGCAGCAGCACCCATGGGGTGAGGGGTCCCGTCCCCCACAAAGGGGCTGTCACCTGGATGGGTGGTGCCCCCGAGTCCAGCCCCAGGTAGGTGCAGGCGTCCAGAGGAGGGATGACATGGGTGGCCAGAAGCTGCTCGGCAGCATCCGAGGAGAAGAAAACCACCCCACAGACCTGCCAGGGCACAGCAGGGATGAGGTCACAGCTGTGGTGACACAAGGGACAGGGCTGGCAGGGCCAGTGACGCCCGAGTTGTGCTGTACCAGCGGGACGGTGCCATCAGGCCCTGCACACTGCTGGATCTGTGCCTCTGTGCCTTTGTAGATGATGTCACGCACCAGCCCCTGGGAGTGAGACCACCCTGATGAGGTGTTTGGGGAGCCCCACACCAAGATGAGGTCACAGCTGTGGTGACACAAGGGACAGGGCTGGCAGGGCCAGTGACGCCCGAGTTGTGCTGTACCAGCGGGACGGTGCCATCAGGCCCTGCACACTGCTGGATCTGTGCCTCTGTGCCTTTGTAGATGATGTCACGCACCAGCCCCTGGGAGTGAGACCACCCTGATGAGGTGTTTGGGGAGCCCCACACCAAGCAGCCAGGGCTGGGACCTCAGCACCCAAGGGATGTCCCTTGAAGGGGGAGCTGCTACCGACCTGTTCATCAGTGAGGTAAACCCCGTGGTTCCTGGCATACGCCTGGCTCCCGGGCACCGCAATCACTCTGACACCCTGGAAGCCGTTCCAGTCTATCCCTGAGGGAGGAACAGAGACCAGTGACCGCTGGGGCAGTGCACAAACCCGGACTGGGCACAACTGCCTGAAAACTGGCACCGCGGCAGAGGCGGTGACAGCAGCGACCACCTTCCTGCAGGCACAACGGATGCTGCTCCCAACTGCCCATGGCTCAGCAATGCCCGAGCACCCACGTCCTCATGGGAGCGCGGCACAGGCTGAACTGGCTGCG